TCCGTTGCTGTACGAAAAGCATACTAGTGATTAATCACGAATCTAAAAGCGATCTCCTGGCACTGTTGTTCCTACGATATGTCAGAAGCTTGGAGGTCGTGGTTCGGGTTGGCAATCCCGAGTCGCTTCCATTTTCAGGGCATATCTCAATGCCATAGCGGAGCTTCGATCTGTCAGGTAAGATGGCAGTGACATAGTCGGTATTGCAGCGTGACACTGGGAAATCCGTCATTGCTAAATTGATATGAAATGAGCGAATCACTCATAGTAATGACTTTTGTAAAGGCCTTGAACAGAGCAACTTGTCCAAAATATCCTATAACCCGAACTATGACTTCTATATTGTCCTCATACTACTCTCGAGACCGCTGGATCTTCTCTCGTTTCGACGTTGGTCCTCTTTGTCAAGAATTCCTACTCGAGTACAGTATCAAGTCTTTGTCAAGTACATTTACTTTCAACAAGCGATGGGTGACTTTGCATTTAAGACTCATTAATGCACGCACTAACAACAATCTGAATTTCTAGACTGAGCTTCATAAGACCTAATCTGGTCCGCCGCGCACCTCAACTTCCTATTTATCACTGTAACAAGATTCAGCAGGGAGTGGTTGTTACATAAGTATTGGCTATTTCGGTGGGCATATTTCAAGAATGCGAAGGGCAATGTATTGCATAATGTTATGCCAAAATGATGGTTGTAAAATCTTCTTCAGACTTCAATAGAGTTCATCGAGATGAGAAGTTAGGCCAGGAGAGTCAAACGAATGGAGAAATGCTCAACCCCGAATCCTACTCAGGAAGCAGCATGAAGAGGAATTAAGGCAGTTGAATGGGGTTTATAGTTGGGACTATACGCCCGAAGAACTGGATGAGGAGAAAAGGGTAATTTACCTTTTTAATCTTTCGGAATTGTTTACACAGTCAGTTGCTTACTTTCGCAGTTATATCATCATGTAATAAACATAGAATAATGCTGATATACAAGGAAGTTAGTATACCTGCGCTGTATGTATCACTGGCCTTGGAGGAAAGTAACCAAATCAAAATTCGTGCTCTCTCATGGTAAGGTCAAAAAGTTACATTCAAGCCGAAATGTCATCACGAAGGACTGGAACAATGATCAAGTATGCAGTGAAGTTAATTGTATTTCTATTCTTATTTAACAATCAAGTACTCGTACAAGATGACAACAAACACCAAGGCTCACCACCATTTCAAAAGCACACCAAGTCCAAACTCCAAAGTACCAAACACCTCTGACTACACAAAGAAAGGAAAAAAAAAGCGTACACAACGAATTATCGCAACCATGGAGAGAATGAAAGTGAAGTCAAGAGAGTACTGAATTCCGAAAACGTGCAAACAAACAAAAGATTTTCAGGAAAGTGATCTCAGACTATATCAATTTACTAAAGGTTCAAGATCCAAATCAAGAATGATATGGAAAATGCTCCGGTCTGATACAGATCTATCATCATAGATCATAAAAGCCCACAAGTGCCAACAGCGTCCTGTCAACAACGCCCACAGCCCCAAAACAGGTAATTGTCAACAGGAATCACCCCATCAACAAGCCCAAGTACCCACAGCCCAAAAGTGCCGAAGTCCACGATCAAAGACCGCTTTCTTGACAAATAGAGCGCCCTAAAAAGCCAACAAATTATAGGAGTCGCCATCGGCGACTCCACAGATTTCCCACAAGTGCGATCTATCCAGCAAAGTTCCATCGGAACCCACCATCAAGATCTAGATCACCAAAGTCAAGACTTTTGCCCGAGAGCCCAAGAGATGACTATGGAAGTACAGGTTTCAACCAACACCACGTGAAGGACATGAACGCACAAGTGCGTACATGAACTGCACGCGGAATTTGGTTTTGGTAAGAGACAAAAAGGTCGTAATGTAATGTAAGTTTAAAGAGATTTCTTCCCACGCTGGCAAGATCCATCTCTCACCTATATGTACCGGTGAGAATACAAAAGATGGTGGAGATGGATTTTTTGCTGGTGGGAATGTGTTGTAGAGGGAAGGAAAAAAAAGTCGAAGGAAGATGGAGGGAAGAGTTCTTTTATGGATAGTGGGCGCGAACCTTGATGGCGAAGCGAGGCTCGGCTACGGCTTTGAAATTGCAAAAATCAAGGAACGGGGGCCGTATAGGCAGAAAAAAAGAAATTTGACGAGGAGGCGCAGTAGATTGCAGAGGGTGAATATCTGTTCCGCGCTGTGTTATTGGTCATCTTCTGGATTTGGCAATAGAGTACGTCGAAACGTCAATACCATAGATTCTTTCACTGACCAATGACTCATGAGCTAACCTATACTCTTTCAACCGCTCTCCACTCCCTTGAGAACCTCGGCGCAATCGACATCTACTATTGGTGTTTGGCCAACAATGGTCCTCGGTCAAAGACCCGATTCGAAGTATGACTCGTGCGAGTGACTCGATACCCCCAATTTACACAGAAAGTGAAGCTATCCGCAAATGAGCCAACTCAATTCCATCAAGACCAATCTACCTTACTGATTGGTCAATAAGCTAGGTTTATTACCCTATTCTGAAGTTGGCGTATGACCTGGCACAGGCAGAGGCACAGATGTCATTGACCAGCTCTCATATTATCGTCTTATCTTCCTTAACCAACGCCAACCATCCACTCCTGCTCAAAATGTTGGAACTTGGCAGTTCTTATGATCACGCCATTTCTCTCCCCCTTGAGTGAATTGCCGTTCACTTTGCTTGAGCCTTGAGGATGGCAATCGTCCCCAGCGAATCGTATCGGCATTTGGATGTAGTAAGTATGGCGATACGATACCTCCCACCATCAGTCTTACGAGTTACGAGTTACTTTCAAGTTTTTAACTGAGTTACAGAGGCTACAAAAATGACTTCGTTTGAATACCTTTGATGGTATAAGAGTAATAGAGTATACTCTAAGTGACAAAACTGTAAATCTCCAAAATTTGAGACTGTATTGTAGTTTTTGAGAGAAGAAGGGGCATGGGAGTTTTTCGCAGAACGTGGTTTCGAAACCGCGGTCAAGATGAGACTGTGACTGTGACAAATGTGTATATATCTATATCATCAAATGCAATCTTCTGCGCTGGTTCCAATTATACAAAATTTACTTCAAAGTTCTTTCAGGGAAGGTTTATTTCCTATGTATAAGAACTACGGGAAGATGGAAGTGACCCATCAGTGCCATCACAAAACGATCGCGCTTTTGCTCATATTCCAGATGTATAGCAAGCTTGATATAATCAATATGCATTGATTATCCAATAGAATCTCATATTGACCTTCAGAGTCTCCAATCATTTCAATATCGAGTGGGTCCTTAAATATGCTGCCTACAGTCATCGCCGTCGCTTACCGCCGGCATCATATACATTTACCGACTTCCATCCGCAGCTCCACCAACTATCCCAAAAATATATACCAAGACAATCCTCTTCCCTCCTCACCAGAATAGAGCTTTGAAAAATACCAAAAAATAAAGAAAAAAATAGCTAAACCTTACCGCCCCTCGACGGGCGGGAGGAGAAACCCCCGGACGGGTTTTTTTCGATCGATCGTATTCGGGCCAGGCGTGCTATCTCCTCCGCCAGATTGCAGTTGTCCTGAATCAGGGTCTCATCCCGATCGCCGTGCAATCTGGTTGAGGGTTATTGAGTTATTAGGGTATATATAGTCTATTTTTTATCTTTTGGTATAGTACTATTAATTGCTTAGGGCATCGGGCATCTTTACTTGAGAACACGTGTTTTGGACCATAACGATAATTTTCGAGGTGTTTGAATAACTTCGTTGGAAACGTTTGACAACTAAGGTAATGCAATCTATTTACTGGATCTTGCTAGTAAGTTTCTATCAGATTTTCATGGAACTTTAATAAATCACTACGGAGCTTACTCCATCAACTTGAATAGTACTCCGTAAATCATCTCTCGAGGTTACGAAAATTGTATCCAAAAGGGGAATTCTCTTCAACATCATGTATGATCTGCCTATCCCAACCCACCTCGAACAATAAGTGTTGTTCCGCTTCACTCCACACATACACATGCGAACGAGACGTGAAAACTAAGCCACTCGTCAATTGCAAAATCATCCCCATGCAAAATTTCCACTTGGAACATTCGCACCAAGGTATTGAGAGACAGCTATGCTAGACAAACAAGGAAGCCATGAGATCAAACAAGATTGATGCGTACTTTCTCATGGCTACCACGCTTATCAATGAACTGGCTTTTAGAGCATCATGAAGTTTCACGGGACTCTACTCTTCATAGCCCAGCAGAGGGTGCTCGTGAAGCCAAGCTTGAAACATCATTCCATAGCACTTAGTTATGACACTTGTAGTAATAAATCTACCTCGAGAAACTTCATTGCCTGTCATATTCCCGAAGCAGAGTCCAGTCTGTAAAGTCTGGTCTCAGGAACTGCTATGTCGATGTCCGGGCCATAATCTCGGATATGTACTCGTATGTATAACTAGCAAGCAACCAGGGGCACAGCTGTACTCGTAATATTTCACAACTTCCAAAACATCATACTCGAGTAATAACCTTAACCTACCGGTATTCAGTGCACCGGTATCTATTTTTCAAACCAACAGCAACAAGGACCTCAGCAAACAGACATGTGTAATAAGACTAGCATCATTACCCCGGCGTCTATTTAAGGTTGGAGCTTATTATACCTAGTAGTTCATTAGGCTTACCCCACATATCCTAAATTTCCCCTCTTCAGGCAATTTTTCCGGGTCCTACTTTCGGCAAATACTTAACATTTTATTTTATCCATCGGTTGAAAAGTCTCCAAACGTCTACGAATAGAATACTTTTACCATAAATTTCGAGGAATTATTTTCATTTTCGATTGATATCATCTTTGAAAGTCTACTAATACCCTCATCTCATCGCCACAACTCCCCAAAACCCGGCACAAACAAAGAATCTCCCTCGCACAAGCTCCAGCTTACCATATCTTATCCGAAATGCCGCCCCTACGCCATTCCATATCACAGTTATTCGCGCCGCATCCAGCTTTTGCACTGAGGAACCCTCCATCACAATCACAAGCACAATCGCTATATACGGCTCCTTCTTCATCTACAAATAACAACAACGACGAGATGGTTTCCTCACTACAACCTAAAAGACCTACTGTATGTTGTGCAACCTCTAACCTCTAACCTCTAACCTCTTGTGCCGAAGACAAGTATTTTAAGATTCATTTATCCGGTGCGGGGATAATATAATATAATTGAGGAGTATATGCTAATATATTATACATCTTAGGTTCCACTGCCACTCCCACTCCCATCCACAACATCAGCTCCAACAGCACCTTGCAACTCCCTCCCATCTGCATCCCCATCATTCTCCACCCTCTCCCACTCCCTCTCCCACTCCCACCCCACCTCCATTCCCACCTCCATCCCCCCCCGCTCCCAAATCGAAGCTTTCCCACCTCCACGTACCGGTACACCTTACCGCGCATCTCCAACCCCCTCCCTCTCTCCCTCCCTCTCCCTCTCATACACCCTCGACCCCTCCAAACGCCACCCCGTATTCTTCACCAATAAACTGCGCAAAGCACCTACCGGCGTCGATGCCCATGAGTATTCGAATGAGGTATGGCGGGCAGGGAGTCCAGTTGCGCGGGGGTACGTGTATGAGAGTGGTGGTGTTGAGGAGAGGGAGATGAAGTTGTGAGGGGGTTCAGTTTGGTATTGGTGGTGCTACTGTAGTGAGAATTTACTTTGTTGAGCGGATTTTTATTCATTGGAGCTTGGAGTTTGGGCTGGGAGAAGGGCGTGCATGGGGGTTCGTGGGTTGTATATATGGGTGGGTTGCTATCTTTGTGCAGGCGGTCATGACTGATCATTAGTAGGTTCGATGTCATTTAGGTTTTCATGCATGCCCATTACTATAAGAAGTTGAAATTGAATGTCATCGAAACCCTATGAACGTGTCCCAATATATGCATACTACAGTACCTGAAAGCCGCATGCCAAAACTCCAATCCGTGGTATAAAGCCTCCAATTCTGATGATAACCTCCCCATTTGTCAATTTGAATTCCCTGCATGGCTTTCTCCATCCATATTATGCCGTCCCTCCTGTGGTTCATCTATCCAACGCACTTTTGCCAGCCCGGCAAGCCACATCCAAACCCAACAAACAAGTAGAGCAAGAAGATGATGACGACAGTCAAGAGTACCATCAACTTGACATTTTTCCACCACATCTGTCTACGCAATCCTCTGCTCCTTATCCTGAATTCCGATGCACTTCCACCCAGTCTATCCGTTTTGTCGACCAACAAATCAATTCTCTCGCCTCTCTCCAGAAGACTCTCAATATTTTGGTTCATAATCCCTCGCACATTATCAATTTCTCCTTGTACATTCTTAATCGCATCCTCTTTTCCACCCTGAGTCGTTCCATATTCGACCATCAACTTCTTTAGTTCCGAATTGAAGGATCCAGCACCGTAGCCACCTAAATCGGAAAAGTCGGTCGTAGAAGGTGGGAACGATGTAAAAAATCGCTTTTTGATCTCGAAAAGGAACCCAAATGGTATACGACGGCCGAGAGAAGCATCGGCGATCACAAGGAATGTGAGTCCACCGGCAGAAGATTCGGAAGCCGGGTACTCAGAGGGCGCGGATGCCATATAATGGATGAAAGAGTTGTTGTGAGTGTATGTTAATTTTTGAGGCTCGTCATGTTTTATTTTCGGGAGGACAAGGGAAGCTAGGGAGGAGGTTTGCGAACTGGCTGATGTGGTATGCTCAGCGAGGACGGTGGTATTGTGGGCGATACAGGAGCTTAATGTGTTAGAAAGTGGCCAAAAAAGCTAGGAGGGAGATAGATATAAACTTACTAGAGGAGGGGAGTTGGTGGTGTGGATGAGGAGGCCATTATTGAGATTTGACTTGGGGATATGACTTGATCAATCAAAAAGGCCTTTCGCAATGCGCAAGCAAGGGTACAATATGGTATTGTAGAATCAATTCAAGAGATGTAGAATGTATGAATTGATGGTGGTGATATATTGAGAACTAATGAAGTACAATGACGAACTGCGAACAGCAACATAAACTGTAAGGTTAGTACAGGTACCGATAATGTAATGCAGCTGCGGCCAACGGCTAATTATAATTATAAAGGGCTTTCGTTTCTTCTATGATTACATAATCACAAGAAATAAATTGTGATAACAACAATCAATCAATGTTATATACTGGTAACTCAGTACTCGAGTACTTACAGTACTAAATAACTGCTCTTCTTTTACGGCTGTGATGACACTGGTCAGCAGAAAGTCTGGACAATGTGCGTTCTGTACATTTCGCAGCTTCATATGGCTAAGTCCTTCACTTCCCAGACCTAATGGAAGAAGTTTCCATCAGTCTAGGCCTGTGGCGAGAGTCTATCGACCGAAGAAAAAGGTACACAACATCAGTGCTTCTACTTTTAGTTTCTTCATTCTTACTTACCACTAAACTACCTAGTCCCCAGAGGAATCGCCCTACGAAGGACAAAATCACCGTGCAGGAAATTCGTACAAAAAGTCTGGGGATACTACGGATCGGGCTAGGACGCAATTTCAAAAATTTGAAGAGTTGATGGTGAAGGAAAGCCGAATCCTGAAAAGAAAACTTATTGAAGGAACAGAATTTCAGCAACCTGTAGGAAAGGTAGATTTGGAGGGATGGGGCTTGTCAAGTACGGAGGAATTTAGAAACAAGCTTGCAGAGTTTGAAAAAGTGGTAGCAGAAGCAGGCAGAAGAGCTACTCATCGAGGCGAAATCGATAAAGTCTCAAACCCCTTGTTTTGCAAACTTAAGGACGCATATATCACAAATAGTCACACAGGGCTGGAAGGAGGAATCAGACATGCATTCACAAGCTTTGCACTCTCGGGAAAATTCTCTAAAGAAGATCTTGCAAACCACCAGAGGCTGGCAGACTTTCGTTATCCGATTGAATGGTACCCAGCGACAAGAGCGATGCAGCGGACTTTCCATCTACACGTTGGACCAACAAATTCTGGCAAGACATATCATGCGCTGCAAAAGCTTGAGGCGGCCAAAAGTGGTATATATGCTGGCCCTCTGCGATTACTGGCCCACGAGGTTTATACGAGGTTCAATGCGAAAGGAATACCATGTTCTCTCGTCACCGGAGAGGAACGACGTGTGCCCGAGGGTGCGAAGGATCTCATGAAGAGTTGTACTGTGGAGATGATGCCTCTCAATACCAAAGTCGATATAGCAGTTATAGACGAGATTCAGATGATCGGAGATGAGGAACGTGGGTGGGCATGGACTCAAGCAGTCCTTGGTGTGCAGGCCAAGGAAGTCCACCTTTGTGGCGAAGTCCGAACGACTGACCTAGTAAAACAGTTATGTGCAATGACGGGAGATAAGTTGGTCATACATAATTATGAGAGACTTGGGAAGCTAGAAGTAATGAAAATGAGTCTCGGGGAGGAAAAATCTTGCAAACGTGGCGGACCTGTCGGCAGATTAGAGAAGGGAGATGCTGTCATCATGTTTTCGAGGATGAAGATTCACGCTATGAAAAACCAAATCGAGGCAAATCACAAAGGCAAACGATGCGCGATTGTTTATGGATCACTACCCCCCGAGACTCGGGCTCTACAGGCCGCTTTGTTCAATGACCCGGACAATGAGTACGATTTTCTGGTTGCCAGCAATGCCGTCGGCATGGGTTTGAATCTTAGTATAAAACGCGTCATTCTTGAATCTGTCGAGAGGTATGATGGCACAGACACAATAACTCTCCCTCTTTCAGAAATCAAACAAATTGCTGGCCGGGCTGGGAGATATAAGACGGCCAGAGATGCCATTACAGCAGGGCCGAATGATCTCACTGATGGCACCCCAGCTGAAAAAATGGAGCGTCCCGTTGGTCTTGTCACAACATTTAGTAAGGCTGATCATCAGGTATTGTTGCGCGCTATGTCAGGAGAAGCAGCACAAATGACAACAGCGGGAATCTTTCCTCCTGCGAGTGTTATTGAACGCTTCGCTGAGAATTTCCCTAAAAGTACAAAATTTAGTTATATCATACTGCGACTAAATGAAATTGGTTCTATAAGCACCCAATTTCATCTCTGCAAGCTCAAGGAACAAGTCAATATTGCAGATGTCATTCAAGATTTCGACCTTTCTATTCGGCAACGTCTTATCTTCATCGCTGCCCCAGTCGCCTTGCGCGATGCTGGAGGCAAAAATGTATTGAAAGCATTTGCTGGCTGTGTAGCCAACAATACCGGTGGTCACATTCTTGATATACTAGAATCTAACCTCAAACTGCTAGACGAGGATCCCGATACATTTGATCACCAAACGCAAAGAGAAAGATATGTACGCAGTATCGAATCACTGCATAAAACCATTTCGTTGTATCTCTGGCTAAGCTACAGATTTACGGGTGTATTCCACAGTCAGGCCGTAGCATTCCATATTAAGGGACTGGTGGAGGAGAAGATCGATGTGTGTTTGGCTAAAGCCGAGTGGCAAGAGAATGCTAAAATCAAGGCAAGAAAAACAAACGAGAAGCTCATAAAGGCTTTGGATTCGGCGAAAATTTCTAAGGGGAGAGATTCAGAGAATGATGCTTCAGAGAATGGTCGTGTAGAGAGAGTACTGGGAGGCAAAAGTTTCGAGAAGGCTGAGACATCCTCAGGGGTGGAGGTGGATAGAATTTCGGTGTAAAACGTTAACGTTCATCTACACTTTGGGATTGATGTGACATACCCCTAAAAATCTAACATACAAGAAAGTTTGTGGATAGAATACTAGTTAGTGAGGACTTGATCGACTGGTTTGTATAAAATTTATCATGCGATGAATGAGATTCTCGATTGTAAGACACATTGTACATAAATATATTATACAATCCTCTATCAGACACTGGAAATAAATCATGTTAATAATACTCGAGCATATGTATCCCATCCTGCCTCATCTTGCTTGAAATGTAATCCCATTGATATGATGTGCCCTTCACACCATAGTAATCTATTATATCCAACCGTCACGATGTTTTTATCTGCTCAGTAAGTGATAACAATGATTCCCCCGTGCCCCCCCTCCCCCAAAACCTTTCAACACGCCGCCATTACTGTATGTAGTACGCGGCGAATCAAAATATATGCATTTCTCTAAATCAGCCAGCCTGAGTAATAAGTGATAAGAGATAGATGCTAATAATCCTTTCTTTATTTTTATTTTTTTATATTTTTTGGGAATTAGAGGGTGTGAATGGGGGAGTGCATGATGTGATAATTGAGGTGGATAGGAAGATATACTTACGAGTATATACAGTGATGTGATATATACAGTGATTATGCGAACGAGGAAGACTGTAATTAGAATGGATTCAAAAAGGGCGGGTGTGGAGTTGGGGGTTGTTTATTGTTTATGGGGGACTTGATTGTGATGTGATGTGATGTAATGTGGATGAGGGATGAGGAAGACAAAGGAAGAGGAAGAGGAAAAGGGATTTATAGGAAGCTAAATGTGATACTCTAAGTGATTCGATCTGAAAGTGGTAGGCTTTCCAATATGATACTGAAGAAATTACATAAGATAGATAATATCAGGATAACACCTAAGAGATGAAATGAAATACCGTCGAAGAGAGGATGAACCTGGACGTTCATTATGCAGTTTCGAAGATGGAGGAGATGAGGACGTTTAGGTGAGGAGCAAAAGTGCGTTGGAGATTTTCCAGGAGACGAGGTAGGGATGGTGGAAGTGGGCGAGGGAGGTGTTGGATTAGTTTTCAGCTATTAGATAAGGTGTCGTGGGTAAACACTCACAGGTTTCTATGTAGGCTAAAATGGTGATTTTGAGGTAAATCCGATGTCACTCCAGGGAAAGCGCATCAAGAGCTTGGTAAATGGGTCTTTTCATCGTTTTAAAAAGGGTTAGTGACTCATTCTTTATGTTAACGCCGGTTACTCGAGTACATCTGTAGCGTATTTTTTCCTTCGAGTAAGTTTGTTGTAGACGGCGAGGGTTACGTTTTCTTTAGAGCTACATTTATGATAGACTGCTGATCTTACGATAAATTAATTTGGCCTCTGAAGTTCTTGGTGACTTGATCTGGAGAGTGTTAGGTCTATATTGTGAAGTGAGTATGTACTGTGTACTCAGTATAGGGCTGATATCGGCAAACCAAAACTACTTCGATTGATCCTCTTCGTCACGACGCGCTAAACATTGTCTTTATGATAGGGAAGAAGAGTACCGGTATCAAATACAACATCGAAGTCATTACACAGATGCCAAAAGACAATTGTTGTGGCCTGCAATTTAGTGCATTCTCATATCCGCTTGACACATAAATGCCGACGTTAAGATCAGAATGATGCCAGAAGATTCTATGTACGGGCATAGTCTGCCAGCGGTGGTTAGATAAAACTTGACTGAAAGTAAGGGCAGTGATGGAGCTAATCTTGATATGATGGAGGCCGAGATAGTATCATTTCTGCTGTGTCATGATCTCTGACTCGAATTTAGGACCCAATTGACCCAATAGTTAACGAAAGCATCGGGGCCCAATTCTCAAGTAGATACTTCCTGGGAGACAGATGGAAAGAACAATATCTGAAGGACTGACTATAGGTACAGCTATTACACATACGGATGGGAATCGTGTGAAGACTACATTTTCACATATATCAATAGTTATCTAATAGTATTGGTAATTGGTTACCTTTGCGGCTTATCCGATATCAATTATCCTGCAGTAAGTATTCTACCTCTTTTTCGGTGAGGGATACAATAGTATCGGAGAGAAACAGTATACTTAATAGGAAAGAATCGGAAACAGAATTATTCACACTTCGGCGCTACGACCCATGAAGTCAAACTGGCAACCCAGCAATTCCTTTTGATCAGCCCTTCTACCTAATCTAATGTGTGAGATGACCTGGATTATTAAGTGATATACCTCAGAATCGTTTGAAAAACTACAACTTCTTCACAGTGGCTGTTTATACGCGGCAAGTAATACCCAAAATTGAACTGAATCTCTCTTGGAAGTTGTAGTGTTCCGTTTGCTATGAAAAAACATGCGCCTAACGCGTATCACTTCAGGTCTAAATTTGATGCTGGATCTCCAATTTCTCTGAAAACCTATTGTCGGTATAGTCATCTACTGTACCGGAGTACTGGCACCGTACTATCGAAGGGCTAGGGCAAGCCTTAGCGAAAGGGCTTCAATACACATATAGTCTCTATCATATAGAATAATAATCAACAAGCTTTTTATTGATATCAATACTGAACACCCATCAGACTTTCTACTATTGTAGATCTGAAAGGTGTTCCTGTTGATACCAATACTAATTAGTGATCACAAATTAGCATATCAACTCTTTCAAGAAAAGTCCTTCGAGATACTCTTTCACTTTTAAATTATTTATTACAAAAACACTACTTAGAACCCTTCCTTCATACCTTCAAGCACCATATCAGAACATTCCCAAGAAATCGATCAAGGCAAGCTCGAATACTATACTGCGAAAAAGAAATATCGGAACTGGACTATTGTCGATAAAGATCCCAATACAGATATTAACGAAATCAACGAATACACTTTGTACAAATGTATTCAATATAACGAGGAGAACATTATTGATATCGATCTAGCGGAGTTAGTTTATTATAACTTCGGACAGTTCATGTTAAAGGATATATCAGTAATCGATAGACACCTACTACAGCAAATACAGCAAACATTACATTACAGAGGACTCTATATTGCTCCAGAAGCCGATATTGCAACTGCTATATTCAACGTAACACGAACAAGCAAATATATTCGATGGACAGAGGCACAAATCAAGGATTTTATTGAGGATAACCCCGAACTTGATCTACAATTCAGATCTGGTATATATACCTATATGATTTATACAGATTTTGGACGATAACCAGCATTGTCATTATTACCCGGAAGCTTAGCAAGATCAGTAATATCTCTCTAACTGAAAGGCAAGGATAAAAGCAAGAAACAATTAGATGAAGATAAACAATCCGAAAAGAATAATAAGGGAGACTCAGGAAATAAAAGACAACCAAACAAAAAGAAATAGAACAAAAAGGATAGATCACCAGGAGGCAAAGGACCCCCAGAAGATAAAAACCCCTCGGAAAATGGAGAAGACAAAGAAGGCAGAGAACCTCCAGGATTCTCAGGACTTTTAAAAGGCAGAAGAAATCACAGAAACGATGATAAAGACCTATATATCTCCAATGCCTAGTATATGATCAATCTCACGAAGTTCTATACGGAAAATGACAAATACAGTGGCGAGAACGACAATTTCGATTACAAACTTTCGATTTATTACGAAATCTGTCAATACGCAGAAATTCCACAGGATCTACTTTATAGAGTATTCCCAACTATACTGAAAGGCATTGTACTCGACTTTTATCATTCCAATTTTCGAGATTTATCACCTATCTTTTAAAAGCTGTGTGATAATATGCGAAGCTATTTCGAAGGCAACGAATATTGATGTAATATACTTACGAAATGGAATAATACATCTCTTTAGTTTGTTTAAGCCGAGAATTCAAACAAATCTACCAGAGAGTACTTGCAGATCCTTTTCAACGAATTTCGTCAACTGTAATATTCACTGTATAAGAACTTATGCAACCCAGTCTACATCTATAACAAGTTGATTCAGGTATACTAAAATGTACAAACATGTTTCTATATATGTTTTGATTCAAAATCTATACTTGCTAGCCTTATTAATCAACTGAAACAATCTGTTGATATATAGGAGAAGATTTATCCAAAAGATTCTGAAACATTTTTTACCAATCATCAATATCGTGATACAAATCAAGGCCCAAAGTACAACAACAACCCTAAAGGCAATTCTAGTATTTTATAGGATAAAAAGTGCTGGATTTGCAAGAAGATAGATTGTTAGATAAAAAGGTATTTTAAGAAAGAATAAAAAGAATACAGATACAAATACAAAAAGAGATTCGCTAAAAACACTGTTAACAATACCAAGTTTGATAAATATTTTACTCAGTTCTTACTTTATTTTAAGGGAAAAGATAAAAAGGATTATGATTTTGATAATATTGTTATCAAGGTATATTTTGTGGATCTTAATCTTCAGGATAACAACGAAAATGAAAGTTTTTTTTATTTCTATAGGATTAGTTGATAATAAAGATATAGTTGCCCAGTTAACTAATCGCTCCTTCGAATATACACTTACTAGTTCGGAAAAAGTACAAGAATCGTTTTTAAGCAATATACGATACAATGATAGCGAGTTCTATGGTATCGTATTGGATATTGGTACTGCAAAACGATCTATAGCCGGATACAACCAATACTTGGTTTGGCAAAAGCTATCTAATGATATTATTGATATAAGCATAGCTGGCAATATAAAGATCTAATTTGATATAAGTACTATTGTATCTATAGAATCTTTCTGGCTCAAATCCCTTATCGGAAAGATTGAATTTCATATTGTTTACACTGATACACTATTTCTTTTATATCTTACTGATATAGATTGTTTTCATATTTATTACAACAATATTACCAATATATTAGTTGTATCAGATCGCAAATACCCTGTCTTACGTAAATGAAGCTATTCATTTCTGATATAGAAGATTCGAATCCAACCATTTATTCAAGAGTCTATCGATCAGAATAA